CAAGACCAGCAGATTGTAAATCTTTCCAAATGTTGCCAAATGCTTTTAAGGTGTGTAGCCATCCTAACTGAGTAGGTGGTTTCCATACACTTTGCCTAGGATTATACGGCTTGCCGTCAGGGGCAGTTATTGCACTCCCATTACAACTATCAAATAATTCATCTATTAATGCAATAAAACATGCTGTTGCCATTGCTCGTACTAGAAGTATGTCTGAAACAAACAAGCAAGTAATAAAATGTGTCACATTTGTTTATAATGTTACCTTTTTGAACTAACTGGTAAATATATACTGAACTGCTTCTGCTGAGTGTCTGTGCTGCAATTTTAACTTTCATAGCATTGTGCTGTAAAGGTGAAAAGTAATAATCCTTTAATTTGTAAAGACTTCGAAAAACTAGAGGTGTATGAGTGTCTACTTCATACGCTTTTTGGATATCAGACCATCTAGCTTGCAAACTTTCTGCATCTGATGACATTGAGGGCAGTACTTCTGATGATGGTAACTGTATATTGTACTTTTTGAATAAATTTCGTGTGCTTTTTAATAAATGGGGTACATCAAAGATATTGTGAATAGTCCTCCCTTCATAAATAAAAAATGGAGTTGAAATTGTTGATCCTAGGTCTTTAAGAGCTCTTACATTTGCAGTTCAGGGGTGTAGCTCCTTAGGGAGCCGAAGTCGCCCATGGTTCATATATCAAAGTACCCTTAAAATTCACTAAAGAATCACCCCTTGAAGTTTGTTGCAGTCATTCAGATACACCTCGCGATTGTAAAATAGAAAGATACTTTTATGCTCGATTTCTACAAAGTAGTCGTTCCGATATTTTGGATGTATCTGCGCTGTTCTTGTTTACCATGTGTGAAAAACAAGGACAACACTAGAGATAGCGATTCGTTAACTTTAACTTTTGTTCTAGAAACCAGTCCTAAGGGTGAGGTTATAGTGGATCAAAAAACCTGTAATGAAAGTAAAATTCTTTTCGATTCAGATTATATTTCTGCAGTGGATAATGTTCCCTGAATAGCAGATGCTCCAAAATCATAGTTTCTTGATGCAACTATTTCACGATGCTTTCGCTTCCGTGGAGAACATGTCAAGTCTCCTGTTTTCGTTGCATTTTATGCATATGTCTCATGAAATAATTGCTAATTGACACATATCCAGATGCTTGTAATCCTTGTAATCCCCGTTGTTGCCATGATACACCTGTCCATGATAATTATATTTATAGAGTATCTAAAGATCTTTACTGCATACTTACCTTCATTGTAACGCAAGCCGGTTATATATGCTCTGTTTTGGAAAGAATTTCATTGCGTCAAATTCAAACGTTTTCCACAATTCAGTTTTGCCAACAATGACATATATAACTCGGCTCTATTGTTTGTTTCTTTCGCCACTAGTCGATGCGCTTTTACCAATAAGTTTTCAAGTGCTCCTGTTTTTCAGTACACATAATATACAGTTGTAATAAATTAAAAGTTTATAATTATATTGCACATACCGTTTATGTGGTACAACAAACCAGTGCGCTTCAGGTGCGGAATTGGACTTAGCTCAACAACCCCTTTTTTATCGCAATAATCATCACAACACTTTTCATGATGTTCGAAAACATGCATAATTGAGTTGCTGATCTCCGCTTTCATTTTATTTACGTCGCCCGAATATTTCTTTATGGCTTTGTACGCACCCTTTTGCAATTCCGTTATTATTGGCTTTGTTAGGTATTTTCGGCCTTGGATGTTTATCGATGTATCTGCCTTGATCTTGTACAAAGATTTGCCGTAATTCTTTATAGCATGATTAACGCATTCTAATTTTTCCACCTGCCCTCCGTAAGACACCGTTTGTTGAATGCGATAGAAAACACTTGAATCTCCATCAGCAACAAATTTAAGGTATTTAACCCCGTGCATAGCAATACTTTGATTAAAACCT